GATAAGGCAGGTGAAGAGGCTGAATGGTTAAGGAATTTTCTTATGGATGTTCCTTTGTGGTCCAAACCACTTCCAGCTATCTATGTCCATTGTGACAGTCAAGCAGCTATTTCAAGAGCTCAAAATTCATCATACAATGGAAAGTCTAGACATATTTGTAGGAGGCACAATACTGTGCGTCAACTGCTTAAGGATGGGGTTTTAGCTATTGACTATGTGAAGTCAAGTGATAATATTGCCCCATTAACCAAATGATTAGTTAGAGAGCTAGTTCAGAAAACATAGAAGTGGATGAGGCTAAAGTCTATTACAAACTAGACCACCTATAACGGAAACCCAACCTTGCGATTGGAGATTCCATGGACAAGGTTCAATGGGATAACAAAGTTGTTGGAGTGGTCTGTGGAGGTACTATATTGAATTTATTTCAAACCCTTTCCTATGATGAGTAGTACCAACTGTATTGATTAGAGGATGAGCAAATGCTCTTAATACTTACTATAACTGATATTCAGTGAGGTGTTTAGATACAGTGCACCCTTGATAGAAGCGCATATTTGAGTGTGAAAGTGGGGCAGCTTCCTATGAGAATTGAGGCTAATTTTCTAGAGCACTCAAAGAAATCGGGAAAGTTCACGGCTGAAATGAACACAACTATGAGAACTCAATGATTGTTTTAGAAGTCATGTGTGTGTTCTATTGTCTCAGTTTGCAACCATAATTGTGGAGTTCAAAACATAGTTCACTCTATAGTTAGCAAACTCGATAGAATATACAAATCCAAGGTTCAAGTCGATAGACACCTAACCCTGCGTGATTTCTACCGTACTCCATAATAGTATTTATATTTATCTTATTTCTTTCATGTGGGGGAGTATTAGATATTTATTCAATAAATATAATATGTGAAAGAAATAATTAATTCAGATGAAGTACCCAATTAGTGAAAAGTGTGGAATTTGTGTGGGAGGTCGGGGGGTTCGAGTTACACCTCACGCATTATATTAAAAGTCTTTGATTGAGGCCTTGGGTTTAATTGATTCTAATAATAAATTATTATTTTTAATCATTTTTGGAATTATTAATGGGTTAACTAGCCAGTAAAATATGATCGTTTTTAACTGTCCAATGTTAACAACCCATTACCACTAGCTATAAAAATTGCAAATAATACTGGATCATGGTGAAGGCAGTTACATCATTTTCCTGCCTATATAAACACACATTGGGCATTAGAAACAAACAACAAAAAAGAAATTGTATTTCCTATTTAGAAAAAAAAAAAATACTCTATCTTACATATTTTCTAGAGTACACTTGAGATTTCTGAATATCATTTGTGATTGCTGCACAATTGATTTATTTGATCGTTGTATCCTGGTGGTGATTGTCCACAGAGATCGTAGCAGTTATCAATGAACAATTTCGCTTTAGGATATCATGCTGTCACGAGACTCGATCAGTCGATAAGTTTTTATTTTTGCGTTTTATTGTATTGTAACTAGTAATATTGTTAACATTTCACATCTCCGACGAAATTCTTGATGACTTCCAGCAGATTTATTTCTCGGCATATACATTGACATTTCTTTGGATGACGGTGCATGATTCGGTGTGGCAAAAATCTGAACTCAATGTCATATGATACTCCATTAATGCCGTTGAAGAAGTTTCGGATTTTTTTGGTTCTGTTGTACACTTTGAGAGCTGATATTTCCGCATTATAGTTGTAATAATAATTTGTTTACTACATTTTTAAACTCTACAAATAACTTATTCCTTAAAATTATTTTCCATTTCGAAATACATTCTTCTTTTATACACATAGGACATGCTCGACTGTTTATTAAGTACCAAACATGCCACAAAAGGTAATCAAACAACAGAGAATTTCCAGAGGTGCCAAAAGAAAAATACAGCTGCAGGGTATTCTCAGTCCTACTTGCACTCAAGGAACCATATACATAAACATGCAAGCAATATTTTGTTTGTACAAGAAACGGAATTCAGTTAAATGATCCAAATGTATCATCAGATCTCGCAGACAGAAATGTCATAACCTTTGGATCAAGGCCTCGGTAAAGCTTGCCGTCTCTGAGTCTCTCAAAGTAGGAAATCTTCAATCCATTATTTCTTGCAATAGGAGAGCGAATCCAACCCGAATTCCTCTTTGGAGTACCAGTTATTACAACAACTGTGCTATCGTTTGCAAAGTTAGCCAGAGGCACCATAGCCTCGGGTTCTGTGGCCGATGAGGCGTCTACCAGAAAAATATGACTAAAGTGTCCAGTCTTCAGTCCTTCAGCATACAGTCGAAAGCTACTAATGAAAGTGGTTAGGATTACCTGGAATTTTTCGAGTTCATCAAGACGTGGACATAAAAAGCACTCGACCTCTTCCTCGTATGAGCAGGACTGAAGGATATCTAAGGGTACTCCATCCAACTCTCGAAATGCTGCATTGGCTCGAAACATATCAGAACTCGGAATCCGCTGTTGGAGGCCTCTCATTAGCACATCACATGTTTGGTTTAATGGTGCACATATAAGAATTCGATTTGATGGGGAGCTTCGACAGATTTGGGCAACTGCTTCCGCAATTAGTAGTCCAGGTTTCGACAATGTACATGTTTCAGTTGCAGACATCGGTCCCTCAATGAGGTAAGGAGGCGAGCCATTGAGGCTTAAGATGTGTTGAAGAGAAGAAATTTGCTGCTTATCGAGTTTGGGGTCAATAAACAGTTCCATGGAGGTAACATTACTTTCTGGTATGAACTCGGGGAAGAGGAAGTTTCTAACTAAGGCTCCTGAAGCAACTTCGATTGCATGGTGTGCCCGCTTTAAACAAACTCTATTGAATGAAAATTTGACATCATATTTGCAGTCTGGTCGATGATGAGAGTGAAAATCATCACCAAATTCAGCCAAGAGCAGATTTTTCCCCACCAGACGATAGAAAATACCCTGTTTAAGAATACAATGATAGTGAGATTAATACGACAGGAATGAATTGCATTTACTAATTCAATACTAGACAATGTAATGTATAAGGAAAATCTTGTGAATAGAAGATTCGAATATATACTTCTATTGCAAACAGATCCATGAAAAGAGTTCAATGACATTTAGAATAGCCATCTGATAATATGAAGAGATTAATGAATTCACTTGGGATGGAAAGGAGAAAATAAAAACCACATAGTTAGTGAAAAGTATGTTATATTTGGCAATCTATGAGCAGAATTTTAGATGTTTGAGCAAAAAGAACGCGTATCTGAACTGATGTGGACATCATCGAGATCAAGTTTTATTTTATTGTTATTGGACTTATTATTTATATTTTTATTATTGGGCTTGTAATAGCGAGTTGGCCCTAACCCTTCAAGTTAGGTTTTTGCTATTTAATAAATTTGCATGCCAAACACTGCTAATCAACCTTCACCTATTCATCCAAAAAAAAAAAAAATGCAGCCTCAATAGCTGACACAACCTCCACCATTCACAGTCATACCACGTTTCTTTCCTCAAACTAGTTGCAACATATATTCTAGTCAAACACACAACAACAACAACATATACAACCACCTTCCCTTGTCATCATGCAACCCGAACTGCCTCACCCTACAACCACCCACCGACCACACATCCGCCACCACACCTCTGCTCGCCCGTCGCCCCTCATAGTCATCAATTCTATCAACACCGCCCTTACTCTTGAACCTATCTCGGGCCGCAAAGTGCTCCCAACACCAGTAGAAGCAGAAGTTGAAGAAGAAGAGGAGAAGGCGACAGTTGCTGCCTCTTTCACGCAAGCAACCTTGGGTTTTTTTTATCAATTTGGGCCTACCCTAATATATTGGGTCTGGGTTATATTTTGTTTTTCACTTTGGGCTATACCTTAATGTGATGGGCCTAGATTTCAATTTGATTTTTCCAATTGGGCTCTACCTTCATTTTTTGGGCCTGGATCAGAAATTTTGTTTTGGGCTCGATTTTGGCCCTACTTTTGTAATTTAATTTTAGTAAAAAAAAAAAAAAAAAGTCCGCTGGTATCAATTTTAGGCCTCAATTGAGCCTGTTTAGTCTGTAACTTGATTGGGCCACTGTTTGGGCCTTCATTTCTTTTGGTGTAATTTATTTATAGTTTAAAAAAAAACAAAAAAGTGTGAAAAAAAGAGTATTTTTTTCTAACATTTTGCAGGTACCTCTTTGACCTACAGATCGATTCAATTCCTTCGACGAACAAAACGAGAGCTACTATTTCTTTGGAGATCAATTACTTGGTGCTCATTTCCTTCTATGAACAACAGAGACGCTAATATTCCTTTGTCTTTAGTTTACATTGCTGTTTCATTATAAAGTTGCGTCAATTAAATTTTTGTGTTGCTATTATTCCAATTTTTCCTACAAGTTCACGTCACTAAATCCCTAATCGTGTTATTCGCCCACTTTTAACTTACTTATTTTAAACCCTAACCGTATTATACTCTCATTTATTTTACGCGATTGAATTGTTGTTAGTATTTGACATTTGCTTTATTATTTTACATAGATCAACGACAGTTGTTTGCCATATTTGGATCTACATAATCCCATAAATAAAAAATAAAATAAAATATTTTTGATCAGTTCGTTATTTTTCGATTTTAAAAACGAGTTGTTTATTGATCTCTCAATACACTTCATTTAGCTGGTAGTGCATTGCATGCAGTTGCGTAGTGGTCGTTTTGTCACATCTAATTCCGGTAACATGACCATGGACACATTCCAACTTGATGCCCTCACTCAACAATTAGCACAACTTGTCATTAACCAACAACACTTACAGACTCAATTAGCAGCTATCCAAACTGAGATGGCAAGGAAAATAGATACTTAGCTGCTAGGTTGTCCAAACTGAGATGGCCGCTACTCGTAAGGAAAATAGATACTTAGCTGCTAGGTGACCTCTGAACAAACCCTACATTCGACTGAAGCTGAAAACTCGGACGCGTCTAGTGATAGGCACTATCGTCGTCCCCAAGGTGGCCAACAACACGTTAGGCGTAACAGTAGGGATGGACATGAAGTTCGTACTCGGGAGCGAGAGCATCATCGTCATGATCTCAATCTCCTCCTCGCCACGATGCTTGTTTCTTTAGAAACATTAAACTAGATGCCCTACTATTTGATGGTTGTTTAGACCTTCGGGTATTTAGTCAATGAGTTAGAGATATGAACTGTTTCTTCGCTTGGTACGAGGTCCCTGAAGACCGGAGAGTTCAATTTGCAAGTTTGAAATTAAGTGGCACTGCTCAACTCTTTTGGGAAAGTGTTGAGGAGCTCATTGAGCGACGTCGTGCTCCTCCTATTAGGAGTTGAGATGAAATGAAGCATCGACTTCAAGAGAAGTATTTACCCCAATCGTATAGCGTTACGTAATTTGTTGGATCAATGGAATGCTCTCACGCAAGGCAATCGACTCGTGACTGAGTACGTCACTCAGTTTGATGAATTTCGAATGAGATGTCACGTCGTTGAGGATGAAGCCATGACCCTAAGTAGGTTTAAGCAAGGCCTCAAAGATGATCATAAACGTGAGCTTGTCCTTCGGGGCGTTACTACTTTTGACCATGCTTATGCCTTCATCTGAGACTATGATTTAGTTACTAAGATTCCATATAGAAATCGTGGTGACAACCATGCCCCTATTTCTTCAACACCTATTTCTGCAGCACCCACTCCTCCCCCCAAGTCTATCCTAGGTCCTCCCCCATCTAAAGGTCTTCTTGTAGGGGAAAATAAAGGTAAAGGTACAGAAATTCCAAGGAAGTCATCCCGCTTGCAATGCTTTAACTATAAGGGTTTCGATCACATTTCTTCTAACTGCCAAAGTAG